CCCATAACTCCCCAAGGGAAAAGTCTCCGCCCGAACCCTCTTAGGCTTTTTACCCACTCCACATGCCCTATCTATCCACGCAAGAACGAACGAAATCGGAGTGCTTCATCTCCATAGGTTCCCTCGTTAGCTATGAAGTATTAGAGTGAGTTTTAATAGCAGTTCAGCTAAGTTAGCAGGTGAAGTATAACACAAGGAGAGAGTTTAACATATGGCTATTATCCCTGTATTGTCTAGCCAGCGACGTAGTCAGCACTGGACCAAGAACCCTTCAGAAATTTCAATTTCCTAACTAATATTGGAAATTATTTTCCTTCAAGATAAAAATAAGAATGAGCAGACTGACGAGCAACGATTTCCCTATAAACATACGTTTTATAACATTAAAATAAAAGTCGATTAACTTACACTTTGTTTTGTGATATCTCCTTTTTCCACTTCAATTAGACCATTTTCGATTGCTGTTGATATCTTCGGTTCGATTTCAGCACGCGCTGTTCCTCTGTCGGCAACCTGCAGAGAATCAATATACTTTTTAAACTTATCAAAGATGTCTGTTCGCTCAGGTTGAATGATAAATGAAATCGAAATGTCTTTATGTAGTTTTGATTGCCGATTTCCTTCATCCACCATTGATTTTGCTACAATATCGACTGAACATCCAGATTTTCCACAACCAATTGCTGGAAATGCAATAGTGTGTAAATTATCATTTAAAAGTTGTTGTATTGCATCTGAGACAAATTTTTCAATAGACTGGCGTAGGAGATTCATATCTGTGTGTGGTTTCCATGGAAGAAAATAAAGCGTTTTCGATTGAATTTCTCCACTAGATGGGATGCTGATTAGAGATGAATCTTTCGGCTGTTTTGCTAATTCACTGTCATACAACGATTTCATTTGACTACCACCAACTTCGAAAATAAAATTCATCAAAACTTCAGATGATGAACATATGACGATTGCTTCGTACTATAAAATTAAATGAAAAGTAAAACTTAGACAAATGTTTAGCTATTTCGTTGTCAAAGTTGCTAGAATTCAAAAGAAAAACCTAAAATTTCACATATTTGCACATCATTAGTGTCTAGAAACATGTAATTTAGTACTTTCATTTTCCGTCCTCTCTCTGATAGATTAAAAAGGAGTAAAATTTCAAATATAAATATCTATATAATAAACCATTTTACATACCTTTTCCTTCACCAAATCTCCTTGGCGTATACCCACTGAAGACAACGCAGGCTTGTGCGATTCCTTAAAGAAAATGTTATTTAAATATGCGACCAGCATTTTTAAATTCATCTTATTCACTGCCTGTTTTTCTGCAGTCCAAGCAACAATGCTCTACGGAGAAAATCTAGTTCCATGGACTGCATCTCTAATTATACTGATAACATACAATGTATCGTTAACTCTCGTTTCAAAAATATTCTTGCAATGAACGCTCACAATATTAGAATAAATACAAATCTTTTGTCGAAAAACTATAAGATTTGTTCATATATCTTACTCTGTCACAAATATTTTCTTTATATCGAAGTAGTTATATAAGGTCGATCAATGAAAAATGCATGAAAATCACACAGAACAGATAAAATTTGATGCTGAATCCAACGGAAATAGTTTCAGGGTCTCCAGAGGATCGCTCGCTGGAAAGGTTTTATGAGTTCTAATCAAGATTTTTATAGTTTGAGACGCTGTTGCTGATTTGTTATGCCTATTATCTTTTGTTCTTTTCAACACATTTGAAAGCATAAGATTCTGCACTGTCGAACTGATCTTAAATGCGATGAGAAAAGTAACAACATACTGACATAATCTTTCTTATAAAGATGTGAAAAATCCATATGAAATAGTTCTAGTTATTAGTAAAATTATAGCAGAGAAATGGATATTACATAAAATAAATGATAAGTTATTTAAAAGTTATTTGTTTTAGAAATGTATGTGAGCAAAAGAGTTGGATTTGGATTTAGATTCTACCTGTTTCTGAACCAGGTAGAACTGATTTAAAATGGACTACCGTACCTTCATCTTTGGGATATCAAACTGAACGATGCAATGCTGATTCACAACGTTACATTTCTATCGCAACAATAACTAATCCAAAACATACAGCATACAAAGGCATAGTGAATTGAAAAAACTTGTAGTGATCGTTAATACAGAGTTTCAACATTGAACACTAATGGACATCAAACGGTGCTATGTTAAGTCGGAAAGTGTACTGTGAACCAAACACAAACACTACCGCCACCACGAAGCGTTAGCAAACCGTAGCAAGCATCAGTCCACAAAAAGTTTAAAAGATCAACGGTAATGAGCACGAACTGGAAAACCAATGTGCACACAACTAAATCTATGCATTTTCACTATGCTCTTTCTTTAAAGGTTCCTCGCACACACTCAGCGCCAAAGTCACGGCTACAGGATACATGGCGTCAATTTACGGACATCGATGATAAAAAGAGCATGGTAAATACGACGAATTAAAAATTATATCCCTATAGAGATGAAGATTTGGATTTCGTAGGCTCTTTCTTTAACCCTTTGCTCCCTTAGCGGTTCCAGAAGAGCCACTGATAAAATAATCACACAAACAGGGTATTAGTCTCCCCAATATGCCATTGGTACGGATAGATCGACCGGACATACTGTTCCTTGTGCAGGATAGTTTAATCACTCCGGTGGCCATTGGGATGGAATGGCATGAAAAATTATTTTTTCGCACATGTTGTTTTTGCTATTTATGTAATACTAATTGACAATTGCGCACAGTTAAGTAAATAATTGACAAAACTTATAAATACAAACACTGTTTGTCATTATTAGAAATGGGCGAGACGGTCTCAGTTCCGGTCCAAAGGCCAAAACTTTCTTTTGAGAAAGAGCGGAACCAAAGCCGAGACGGCTGTTCTCCTCATATCCACGTTAGATTCATGCCATGATAAGGGTGGGACGGTCTGGGCCTGGTCATATTCCTGCTAAAAAACGTTCTGGCCCCGGAGTCGGGATCGTCCCACCCACATGTGATAATGGCAAATAACGCTTGTATTTATAAATTTTGTCAATTATTTACTTAACTGTGCGCAGTTGTCAATAAGTATTACATATACAGGGAAAATAACATATAAGAAAAACTTTTCATGTCGTTTCCCCTCAATGGTCACTGGAGTGATTAGTGTATGGCTTACCATTTCTTATCTACCTAGACACTTAACCTATCGGTCAAGCTAATTCCAGGCATCAAATACATTACACACAAGGATACACCTAGCTGCTAATGCCTTTTTGTACTATTCATTCATTCTCTACAGAATGGAGAAACCCGGCTCTTTCCCAATCTGGTTGAAAACTGACTTTCTTCGCATATAATATAATTTTTTGGTATTGTCCGGTTTCAGCAAAACACTGAATTACTTTCATAGGAACATTTGCACGTAAATATCATTCACTCAAAAAAAAAGCAAACAACAATATAAGCAGTTCAGGAAAAGCTTTTTTCTTACTTGTGGTGCTTGCATTAAATTCATCTCGAGTAAACGAGTTTGTAAATGTCCTTGGTCTTCACGATTATTTTTTAATGCATCCAATAAAAAGGCTGTGCATTGTTGAATAAGATTTTGTTCGAGAAATACATCAACCACCTGTGTCAAATCAGCCAATGGTTCATCATCTTGAACAAGCATCT